CCCCCCCATCCCCAAAAACTTCTCAGCGGATTTGGGCTGTACTCAGCAGGCGCAGTACAGCTTCCAACTCAGATCTGAAAAAAAATTAGTGGATGGTTGTTTTCTGACTGGTCGGCAGACCGCCGACCGGTCGACCCTACTGGTCGGCTGCAATACGGTCGGTGGTCGGGGTCGGCGGTCAGCAGGGATGCAACCATGTTGTGCTCTAATTTATGTTTCTACTATTTCTTTTGTCTCCCTCCATTCCTCGCCGCTTGTTATTTTTTGGTTCCCTAGAGTTCCCTTGCATCTGGTTTTCCATATGACCCATGGTGCCGCTCTTCTCAATAGGTCAGCAGCTATAGTTTTCTCCTCTTCTGACAGATTTCCTTCCCTGTCTCTTGCTGATAGTAGGTAGTTGGTTTGTTCTGGGTACGGATTTGAGGAAATGTTCGGCCAGGTCAATATGATTGATCCCCATAGAGTAGTTGCATGTGCACACCCTATCAAGCAATGGATGAGCAACTCTACTTTTTATCCCTGCCCATTTTGCAGTGGGAGGAATGTTCCGTTCTCTGAACTTCTCTTCTGCGTGAGTCCAGCCATTCATTGACGGGGACCGCCCACTAGAGAATCAGCCATTGTAGCCTTCTGAATCTAGGGGGCTTTAGGCTGCTGTAATAATCCCATGGAATTTCGGATGACCATCCATGTTCTTCTCATAGATGTTTGGTCCATCTGCTTGATATGACTGGGCGTGGGTCCTCTGTCTTGTTCCTTATTTCGTAGCTTAACTTTACTTCATAGTCTTTCACATTGATTAGTTTTCTTGCTCTTCCTCTTCCAAGTTTAATCAACCACCCCCACTCCATTGAATCCTCCTCTTCCAACTCACTGATATCCTTTTTTGCTCTGAATTTTAGTAGTTTGCCAGGTCTGTGTCCGCTACTTTGTGCTCGTTTGTTCTTTTTTTGCTTCCATGTTCTGACTTTCCTCATATTTTTTATTATTATTTTTTAAGTTAAACTCTAACGTTGTTTTGCTCTCCTCTTTGATTTCCGCTATTTTCTTGTGATTGGTTATTAGCTCGTGTACTTCGAACTTCAAATTCTGCGATGTCGCTGAGGGTGTCTACGTGCCCAGCTGGGCGATGTATGTCCAACCAAGGATCCGCAATGTGGATGAAAAGGACTGAAATGGACAATGCAATGTTAGTGAAACATCAACAGGCAATGTACACTCCGATACATACAAAATAGCACAAAATAGCGCAGCGGAAGACTTGGAGATAAGTCCTGACCTGACCGGGACTGACGCGACACTTCATCACTCATCACACATGTGGGAGAGGAAGACTGACCGCACACATAGAAGAAAGGTCCCTCCTTTATACACGCACATGGGTAGGTACCACAGATGAGAGATGGGGAAAAGGAGAGACGAAGATGGAGGCAAGGGAGAAGACCAAGATCGCAATAGCGAAGTCCAAAAATAGTCCCTTGCTGATGTCCAATCAATGTCTGCCTCCAGAATGTCGAATCAGATCCGGGGCTATCTGCCCACAGTAACCTCTGCCTGTATCCTCTGCCTGTATCCTTTGCCTGTATCCTTTGCCTGTATCCTCTGCCTGTATCCTCTGCCTGTAACCTCTCTCACTCTCGTATCTGAAGAAGGAGGAGGAAGGAGGAAAGAGGAAGAGAGGGAGAGAGACGGGATGGAGGACGAGGAGGAAGAAGAAGATGTCGTCCTCCTCACTGTCTCACCTGCAGGTAGCTGCCACAGTACGGACTGTTGTGGTGGCCCTGTACAGGTGCCGTGCGGAGCCCCAGCTATGGCGCCAGGTAAGTTCGCCGATACAGGTAGGCCTCCGCCTCTCTCTACCTCCCGCACCTCTACTCCCTAGCTCCGCAGCGCAGCGCCAGAATAGCGCAGCCTCCAACGAGCAGCGTGTCGCTCAAGAAGTGAGCTGCCCGAACTGTGCGGTACCCAGAGTGAGGCCCAGCTATATACTGCGCTGGGCCCTACTGGGTAGGTTGCTGTGTGGCCTAGAACGGCCCGTACGGTCGAGGTCCCTACTGAGGCCCAGACCGTGCTACTGATGCAGCAAGGCGCCAAAACGCGCCTGGCCTCAAAAAGGCCCCATCCCTGTGTACCTGGCCCAAGGCATCGCCTTGGGGCCTGTAAGTCCGAAACGACATCTGCACAGACAAAGATGAGACAGCACATAAGTAAATAAATAACTGAGTGCTGCCTCAGGCTGTCCCTGCGGCCCAGAAGGCTGCCGTGAGCCTCCAGGACGCATGCTGGATGGCATGTGGCCTGGGGCCCCTCAGCAACCGCCGGGCCCCGCAAATGGGGCCCGTGTGCAGGCGCAGCATGTAACAGATTTGAGAGCTACTGAATGTGGTGATTGCTGCCTGTCTGTTGCCCAGTCTCCTACTTCCCATTTGATTTCCTTCTTTAGTCGGGCTCTCCATTCTAGCGGTATGCTATCTAATCCTCTAGATTATTTTCCAGGTTGTGGCCTCCCTTAAGATGATGCCTCAATTCTGAGGCTGTCTTCCATCTTTGCTCTTCATCCAGCCATATGTGACCAATTTTCCAAAACAATTTCTTGATTCTATCACTATCACAACCTCAATTAATGTTACAGTTACACCCAATTGTGTCTCTCTGCAATGCATTCAGCGAGCTTTGTACCATCTTACCCCAAGTACAGCATATGGTCATTATCGCTGTTGTATCTTAGACTGAACGTTGGCCCAAATACAGCTATAACGGCCATATGCTCTGTTCGGGGGAGGACAGTAGTCATAAACTGGGACAACCGGAAGTGAACCACTTGTATAAGACAACTGCCAAAGCAGCTCTGAAATTGCACGCTGATCAGGGATATCACTAACTCTGGGCAACGTGGTGAGTAGATTGTCGGGGCTCAACCTACTGATGAGTCGATAAAGGTCTGATGAAACTGTCTGCCACATAATGAACTTTTTGTGGAGTTGTGTATGGCGACACGACAATGCGCACGTAGTACACAATCAGTTTTAGGTTTGTCTGTCTTCGTTCCTTCTGTTTATTCTAGGCACTTTCCAATTGTCTAAGCGAGCACCTTTAAGTAGTGCCAAATAGTGTGTGGTTCTCTGATTGGAGTGCCTGCAGCACTGTTAGGCGGGGTGCTCTGTTCGGGATGTCTGTGGGGCAGTTCCATGGCTAATGACAGAAATTCGTCGGAGTGTCACCCTGCCTCAGCTGGTGCTGGGAACCAACAGTCTGCGGGGTTCCTCTTGTGGTGTGAGTAGGTGATGTATTGTGTTGCCTGCGCTCCTGCAATGCCTTGCTGCCCACCCGCTTGCCATGTCTTTCTCTGCAGCTTGTCTGTTTGCCGTGTAGTTTGCTTGCCTTTTGCCTCGCAGAATTGTTGCCTGTCTGCCCATATGTGTGCCTTTCTTTTTTTTTCCTTGTGTGTCGAGCGGTTTGGCTGCTTTGTCAGCGCTGCCTTGTCCATTGCTGTGTTGTTGCCTTGCTGCCGGTCCGCCTGCACTGTCGTTACATGCAGTTAGCTCACTACCGTTTTCACCCGAATAGAACACCCGGTCATTATCTCTGCATCCAGACCCAAAGTCGTGCCAAATACAGTTGTAATGACCGGGCGTTCTATTCGGGTGAAGACGGTAGGCGTTGTGTAGTTGACCGGCCTCGTTAGTGTTGCCTTGTGCTTTGTTGAATCATTGCCTTTGCGGCTGCAGCCTACTGTGTTCCACTTTGTGGTGTTGCCTGATGGTCGTCCACTTCCAGCCGGGGTTCAAGGAGTCAATGACTCGAAGCATCAATATGGGGATTCCCGGTTCCGCAGATTGTCGAGGGTTCAGCCTCCTGATGAGTCGGTGCAACTCCGACGAAACAGTCTCTCATCATCGGTTTATATTTTTTTCGGTCTTTCTGTTCTTTTGGGGGGACTTCTATTTTTATCTGGTTTGCCTGTTCTATGTGCTTGGTGCCATCTGCCCTTCCGCCTCCCCCGTGCCCTCCAGCCTTTGTTATTTGCTGTTGCATGCCGTCATATGCCTTGTTGTCTCATGGCTTTGTGTGCCCACCCTCCTTCCCCCTGCCCTCCATCCTTTGTCCTTCGCTGCTGCATGTCTTCACATTCCTCGTTGCATCATGCCCTTTCCATCACTGTCTACCTTTTTTGTTGTTGCCTTGTGTTCATCTGTTTTCCCACCCGCCTCCCTTGTGCCCTACAGCCTATGTGCCTTGCTGCTGCCTGTCGCCGAATGCCTACTTGCCTCCCCGCCTTGCCGTTCACCGTCTTTTGCTTTCTGCATAATTGCCGAAGACAATTCATTCCTGAGTTAATTATCTTCCATGTTCTCTGCAGGTGGGTAGGTTGTTGGCAGATTGGATTTCGTAGTGATCTTCTTTTCAGTGAGCTTATCTAAAACACTCAGTTTGGGATGACCTGTACTTGGTGGGCAACATGGTAGTCTCTGTTTTGCTGCTTTCCCATGGGTAGCTGTGCACACACTAAAAAGTAGCAGACACTAATGTGGATGCGCCAACTCAGCCGGGGACCATGCCAATCGTGACAAATAGTGTAAACGTTGTCGGAATTGCTGCAGGCGATGAAGGCCTGTGCCCCTCTAATACCGCGATTGCTGTTGAAAGTCCACTGCCACCATCACCACCTCCACCCCCACTACCATCACCACCCCCCCAACCACCACTGCCACCACCACCACCACGGCCACTCCCCCCGCCACCACCACCACCACCACCACCGCCACCTCCCCCGCCAACATCTCCCACTACATCATCTCCTCAGTTATCTGCCTCCTCTTCTTCCTCTTCCTCTTCCTCTTCTCCCTCTTCCTCCTCCTCCTCCACCTCACATTCCTTCCCTTCGTCATCGACCTCATCATCAACACATTCATGGTTAGATCAGCCGTCACACAGACCCTGTCGGCAGAGGCATCTAGCGTCGGATCGACTTGTAAGATGCCTCTTCGGGGGAGATGTTCCCTATCTCCATGGCCATCTCCAAGACAGCAGCCTCATTTGTCTTGGAACAGCATGATTACCACGCCCCCTGCAGAGGTCAGAGATCTGCTCTGACGACATGCTCACAATCGGACGGAGCGACATCATCGCTCTTAATATACACTAGCTAGGAATAATACATATCGAGTCCAGGTCATTGGCATTTATGGGTAGGCGACTGCAACTCCAGCCTGCTCCACAAAATCACGTGCCAGGCATAGATCTTTGCATTCGGGCATACATCTTGCATCGTCCAGGTCATTTCAGTGTTGTTAGCTTTGCGGATAATTCATGGACCCTATGGGATAATGGCAGTAGGGTGCATGCAACAGGAAATATTAACTCTTTCTATCACCAGGCGGTAGAACATCACTCGGTCTGGCTCGTCCATCTGAAACAGTCGTCGACGAGCACTCACAAGCACTACAGCCTCTGGAGAGAAATCCGGCTGAACCTCCTTCTTCCCCTATGCATTGTGGATCGGACGGATTGTACCATGAACAATGAAGGGACCTTTCCAAGGGATGGTGGTTGTGCCCTCCCATTGTGTCGTTGCACAGCTACAGTTCCGTTAGCATGGACACGGCATATCCTCTGCCCGGAACACTATGAAGGGATGGTCGCTGCCAGCCTCTGCCACGAAAACTGCGATCCTTGATTACTTGCCCAACATGCCGTTACGGCCTTAATCTGCCATGCTTAAATAGCTGCGCACGTCAGCCCTCATTCCTGCTGACATGTCAGCAGCATGCCATGAGTTGTCGATGTTTCCAAGAAGCTGTCATGGAAAGTATGTGTCTGTACTGCGTGGACTATCCCCAGTGCCATCATCCACCACATCGTATCCTAGCATGTCCCACATGCGGTTTTGGGCATACACCTACTGCAACCGCATACGGATTTCCTCCTTCCTTCCCAGACAAACGACTGGCGCAGCAGCACGAGGAGGAAATTAGACTATCATATGAACCACCTACAGAGTGGTGTACTGATAGGTTATCGCCGCCAGGGCGAGCTGTTGGAGACCAAATCCTGCAGCAGCCAAACACCCTTGCTTCAGATCAATCCCTGTCGTTGTCTGGCCATAGAGAAGGAATAAATACTGAGGAAATCCAAGAAACCTGCTCAATGCTGCCTTACGCTGACGCACTGGAGATTCAGCTAGCATGTGGTTTGCATGCCTTGTGCCATGAGGATTATGAAGGGCTAGCCCATGTGAGTTTTTGTCTTCATATATATGATGACAGTCAATACTGCACTCATCATACGGCACTCTGACATGTGATGTCCAATTTGTAGACAGGGACTCGAACGGCAATGCCTCTACAATTGCTGTCGGTGGAGCTCTGCATTCCTAGCATGTAGGAGCCATGTAGCCTGTGCTTGAACAGTCGCGTGACCACGTCTTCCAGCCGTATGCACGCTGGTCATGCAGATGAGTGCAGGTTATAATTGCCCTCAGATCGCCAAAAGCACTGCACCATCCGATTAAGCTTAGTACTTGACCGCCCTTTCTCTCCAATCACAGAGCTTACTTTGATTCGCACTCTGTTTCATTAGTTCCCCTCAGCATACATATCGATTAACACGCTCATTCCATTCAACTCGTTTCGCTACTTCTCTTCATCAGTGAAGACATTCATGTCACACACCTCTAAGCACATAGTGCGCTTAGATACGCGCTCTGTTTCGTTGTTTTCCTTCAGCATACACAACAGTTAACGCGCCCTTAATCCATTCACATGTATCGTACTCCGATTAGTTACATGATGACATTCACATAACAAACATCATTCCTCTCGACTCGACGACTGCAGCC